CTACTTTTTTCTTCATCAGCATATTGTCAGGCATCAACAATTTTTGCTGCTGTGTATTCCTGTTTTAAGGAGGCCTGCCTTCCTTTTGGTTGGCAGCTACTGATCTATGGCAGTAGAACAGTTTACCAAATTTGTTAGAACTTGTAAATGAAAATATAAAATGAGGATAAGTAAGAGTAAATGAATTGGGTTTGGGGCTTAAACTTTGTGCCATCTACTTTACTTTTATGTTTGCTTCTGGATTCTCATCTATATTTTGTTATTGTTCAAATGCAGCATGCATGATCTTAGAACAAGTTCCATACATTTTTACGTGTAATTCAATTTTTATATAGGAAAATGAGAATTTTCAATCATAATGCAATTCTATAAACATAAGATTGCCAAAATGTTATTCTTATATATTATGACTCTATCCCAAATTTGAAAAATTCCACATTATGAAGTCTGTTTTTAAAATGCTATTTTGCTGAGTCTACCAAATTAATTATTCATGATTTTAAAATGACTGCAGTTGTCAGTATTACTACATAGTTCATGAATTATTATTTCCATGTGCACAATTAAGGCAATATGAATTAGTTCCTAACAAAACTCTGTGACATGAATTTCTTTTAAACTCAAAAAGTAAGACATAAATTTTTTTTAATGGACATGACCTCCTGTGGCCCTGTTTTCATTTAGTTCTCATTGCTAGCTTATATTACTATTTAGGAAAGAGCTCTTGAACCTGCTAAAGATACTAAATATTTAATTATGCTCTTATCTGGTGTATTTAATGTCAGAATTGTATTGTTTGCCTAACTGAGATGGTAATCAATGGAAATAAGGACCTTATGTCTCATATATATTAAACTAAACATATCTGAGCCTCAGAAGATGGCTGGCCATTTGTGTAGTAGAAAATAGAAAATAAGAATATACCCTGGCCTGGAAGTTCCCTGGTGGCCTAATGGTTAGGATTCTGGGCTTTCACTGCTATGGCCCAGAGTTCAATCCCTGATCGGGGAACTGAGATCCTACAAGCCATGCTGTGCAGCCCAAAAAAAAAAAAAAAAAGAATATACCCCAGTCTCAATCTTTTAAGTCTTCCTGCAATTGATAATTATGAGACAGACAAAGTCAGTATTCTTATAAAGCTCCTGAAAATGGCATTTTATTCTTTTCCTTTCTTCATCCTCTCCAGTATATCTAAGGGTATCAAATATTAATTTAATTAGTATAAATATGATATATAAAGTTAGAAATCTGGAAATCAGATTACCATACCCTGAAAATTTAATTAAGAATTTAAAATGATTGCTATTATTTCTTCTTTTGTGAAAGATCAAGCAAAGGTGTAACTTTTTCTGGGGGCAGGGGAGGAATTTTGTTCATTAAACATATGGAAATCAAGTCGACATAACTCAGAGGTTTATCTAGTGTGAAAGGACATTTTTTTTTTTTTTTTGGCCGCACTGCACGGCATGCGGGATCTTAGTTCTCCGACCAGGGATCAAACTGGAGCCCCCTGCAGTAGAAGAGCAGATTCTTAACCCCTGGACCACCAGGGAAGTCCCAAGGACATTTCTTAAAAGCTATACTTTTATGTGGCACTTCTTACTCTGGTTCAACTTTGTGTAAGATCAAAGACTGAAAAAAAAAAAAAACAAGTCATGTCTTCTAGTTGTCATTTGGTAGCAAAGATAGACACATTCTTAAATAGTTTAGAAACTAGGCAGACTGGCAGTTAATTATACCAGAACTTTATGGGATATGTTATGAGGGGAAGATGGAAAGAGGAATTCTTACTATAAGGTAGGAAAAGAGTCTGGGAAGACTTCTTGGAAAAGGTACAGCTTAAATTGGGACTTGAAGGAAAACGTAGTGTTTTGGATAAGCAGTGCTCCACAGACAGGGAACTGTGTGAGTAAATGATCCACAGAATAGCTAATGTTTTTTGACACTTTGTATGCTAGGTATTTTACGTGCATTAACTCACTGAATTCCAAACAGTCCCGTGAAAGAGGTACCAATATCCTAAGTCACAGGTAGGAAAAGTGAAGCTTGCAGAGATGGGTGCTGAGGCAGGGAGGGGTCTGCCTGCCAGGCTTAAAACCAGGAGGTGGGAGTGGGTTCCAGCCTGTTTGCGAAATGGTCAGTGGGACTTATAGGTATGAAGCATTGAGGTAAGGCTAAGGGCAGTGTTTCCCAAGTTTGCCTTTGAGGATCACTGGGGTTATTTTTTAAAATAGGGATTTCCAGGCCCCTCCCCTGGAGGTTCTGATCCTGTTGAAGTGGGGCAGGACCCTAAAGTCTGTATGTTTAACAAGCACCTCAGGTAAGATATTTTGATTAGCAAGTTGGACACACTTGATTAACTTAATTAATGCATAGCAGGAAATAAGGCCTCTGATTCCTAGTTGGTGCTCAATTATTTGTAGAATTGGAAAGTTTTTTAAGAGACTACACAGTTTGGATTTTATTCTCTGTTTAATGGGGTGGCATTGAGACTTATGAGCAGGGTATGAAATTATTAGATACTTATAGAAAAAAATGAAGTGTTATTTATAGTAAGAAAATGTGGAGTTCTGTTAAAATTTAAAATGTTTTTTTTCTTTTTTTACTTCCAATAAGTTGCTTTTAAAATGATGAAAGGCTAAGTATTAAAGAGGTGCCTAAAGCATTTTAATTTTAGAATGGAATCTTAGGGATTGTGGTGAGAATAAGTATGTATGTTTTAATGTGAAACATAACTATTAGTGATTCCACCTTTTAAAATAATTGTATCTCTGATTTTAAAAGTAATACATCGTTTTTGGGGAGACCTCAATACTGATGGAAATATTTGTTTCTCTTCCTTCCTGGTTCCACTGTCTTCAGGCTTCTGACCCCATTACTTTCTCCATCACTTTTAGCTGGCAAGGTTGCCTTCTACTTACCAGAGAAAATAAACACCATCACATGAAGACTGCCTCAGCTTCCTGAGTGAAACTGGCAAGTCAGCATCCACACCAGCACCCTCCTTTGGGTATCAGCTTCAGGGAAGAGGTGTTAAGCAAGGTCATAGCCCTCCATCTGTTCCTAGGGTGCCATATCCTCCTGCCACCTCAAGAACCTCCTTTACCATTTATGAACTAGTCCCCTGTTCTCTAATTTGAGTGGTATATGGACCTCTCTTTTCAGGAAAGACTCTTGCAGATTTCCAGGGATGACAAATTTTATTATAATTTTAAATAAACAGGCATAAGCTCTGTGCTTTATAGCTCTTACATAAGATAAAAACAATTTTATAAATTAATACAAATAAACTACAAAATAAAATTCAATAGCTAGTTTACAGTTATAAAAAAGCAAATTTAGAAATTAATACAAATAAAACCGTAAAACTTAGGATATTCAAATATACATAGTTTAATGTGACAAATGAAACTAAATTGCAGCTTGAAAGTTTAAATATTTGATGGCTACTGCCCAGGTTCTTTTGAGTTCTTCATGCATATATCTCTCTGGGCCATGGGGTGACTCATCTTCCTCATCTTCACTACTCTTCTCTGTTTGGAACATAATATCCCGTTAAGTTAAGCCTTCCTCTAAGAAATCTGCTGTGGCCCCACATGCCCTAGTTTGTTTCCCCTTGGGTATTCCAGTAGAACTCTGTATTTATCATAGGACACTGTATGTTATAAGCTGCCCATTCACCTTTCAGTCTCTACCATCTACCCATGTAGTTTAAGTTGAATCCCCAGCACCCATCCTTTGAGATCATAAAATAACATTATATCCTTCCCTTACCTGCTACAATAGGAACATTTCCCCATGCATTACTCTTTGGAAACATTTCTATTCATATCATAATATTCATCATACTTTATACATAAAGGTGTATTTAACTTTTCCCCTATTGTTGAATATTTAGATTGCTTTCAGCTTATCACTTTTACAAATTTTATAAATTTTATTTATATCCCTTAGACGCGCAGGCCCAGTGGCCATGGCTCACTGGCCCAGCCGCTCCGCGGCACGTGGGACACGTGGGATCCTCCCGGACCGGGGCACGAACCCGCGTCCCCTGCATCGGCAGGCGGACTCCCAACCACTGCGCCACCAGGGAAGCCCCATATATCCCTTATTTTCTTAAGATAGATCTCTAATAGTTGAATTACTGAGTCCTGAGGAGTAAATATAATCTAGTGGTTAATGACTTAAGTTCAGTTCTCTGTTGGCTTTGATGCCTGCTAGCCATGTGACCGTTAACAAGATGAATAAACTCTCTAAGTTTCAGTTTCCTTATTTTAGTATAGGGATATTTAGTTTATAAATTTATATACATATAAATAGAACAAGTAATTAGAACAATGGCTGAATCTCAGTAAATGCTAGCTATTATTTTGTACTTACAAAAAATATTTGATGTAGGTATTCGCAAATGACAGGTAAATTCTACCCGTTTACACTTCCAACTTCAGTGATAACACTTCATCAAATTATAAAATTTTCAGTTAGAAAATGAACACGCAGTAGATTTCACAATATGGGCACCAATTTGAAGCACCTCTACAACATCTGCTTGGGAGAACTGTTAAAATGTTTGCCACTGCGAAACAATAAGAAAACCAAAGAAAGAATGGCGCGTATTTACATCAACACCTAGAAGGCATTGCTTAAAGGCGTCCATTCCTTGCGCGTATAGAGAAGTAAAGGGTAGTTTTCTTTACCTCAAGGGAAACTTAGGCGGAGCGCCTCTAAGGTTTTGGAGAGCTGTTCAGCGTAGAAACAAAGTGCAAACTGCAGGAAAACAAAAGTGAGCCTCCGCCAGATTTAATAAGTTACGCTGCTCCAAAGGAGTGTGTTTAGGAGAGCGGAAGTGTTTAAGTTTCAGCTTCTTCCTTTCCTCCAGGATACCCTCCTGGAAGTTCGAGTTCATTGGCTCCTTTCAGTCGTCTCGGTTCTCTCAGGGAAGCTTCCTCGTCTCCCTGGCAACCTGAGCTGCCACCAATTGAAGCTGAGGATTGGTGGTCACGTGTCCCCTACCCCTTCCCGAGCGGAGGCAACATGGCGGCCCCGGTAAGCAGTAGATGCGAGATTTGAATTACCCTACTTGTGGCTGCTGCGTCCCTGCTGATGGCGTCTCCGGCGTTGTGCGGTTCACGTCAGAGCCCAGAGGGACTCCCTGGAGACCCTTCCTCACAAGAAGAAGATGAGGATTGTGATCCTGAAGATCCGGTCAGCGACTCGGGTTCATACTCCTCTACAAGTACCGATTATGAGTAAGGTTCTCCAAGAGGGACAATTAAATCCATTCCTTCTGCCTCGAGAGTGTACACGTGGGCTGGGGGGAATTCCAGAGTGTTGGCGTGGTAGAGACTGAGTGTTTGAGTTTCTAAAATAAGCGGGGTTTATTTGCACCACGTTTCAATTGTGTGATAATGTGAGCCGAAATGACTGTGCCATTCTTGGTTACTTTAGGTTTTTGTGATTTTCAGAGGAGGAGGTTCTCTTCTTTGTGGTGGGTTCTGTAATATATGAGAGTGTATCTATCTGTTAGAGTGTTCATAAAATTCTGTACTGACGCAGTGTCTTCTTGCTTTGGTGTCATGATCTTTGTGACTTTAACCTGTGTTTAGAGTGTTTAGAGTGAAGTGACACCCTCCACGTTTTATGTCAACTATTTAAATTATGTAGATTTTTCTGGTTATAAAAATGAATATATATATAAAAGAAAGAAAATCCACCCTAGCCTCACCATCGAGAACAACCTCTCAGCATTTTTGGGGGTATTTCTGCTGTATTTTCCTATACATTCCCATGGTTTTCTTGTTTTCTATTTTATGTTATAATGTAATTTTTAAATACAGAATATCTAAGTGTTATTTTCTACTTTCTTAAACCTAAAAATAATGAAAAAGTTATTTTTATTCACAGTACCCAATGCTACTTCAGTTTTGAAGGAATTTATCCCTTACTGCTATGGATTAGAAAAGTCAAAGTAATTAGCAGTAGCTTGAAATGACTAGCATTGAAAAGGTTCTGGTGCCAAAACATGAATCAGTGACTGCCATATATAGTCATTTTTAGGATGACATTTTATGTGTATTTAGAAATAACAGTTACAGGTATTTAATGTGTATTTAGGAGTATCAGTTACTTGGCAATTATTTTCACCCATAGGTATGTAAAACATTTTTATCATTATCTTTAAAAGCACAAGGGAGAAAACCATCACTAATGGCTGCTTAATTATATTCTAGAGGCTTAATGCGGACAGATTATATTCTGGAAGACTTGAACAAATTTAAGGATCAAATACTTTGTACAATCTTCTACTGTGGTCATTTAAAAAATAATTACAAAATTCATGGCTATCAAGCAAGGCTGCTGGAAGGAAGTATGGATTATGTAGAACCTTATGTGGTCTTGCTATGGGAGCCATAGACAGTGTGAGATTCAAATTCTTGCTTTCTCTACATCTTAGAATCACACATTTTTAACCCAGAGAGAATCTATAATATTCCCATGGTCACACAGCCAAATGTTGTCAGTGGAGAAATTTAAGAGACCTGATTTCATTTGGGGTGCATTGATTTTGATGAGTGAATAAATGAGCTAGTCCTTTTTTCTAGGAAATAAGCAAGCTGAGAACTCGTGTTAGAAAACTTATTTCAAAGCATTTTGTGATTTGGAATACATGTGTGTGTGTCTGTGTGTGTATATATATATATATATATATACACACACAGACACACACACATATATAATATTTTAGTTTTTTTTAAAATGGGCATTAAACTTTCTATATCAGTCATTCACTGATCACTCCACATATTCCAGTGTCTTTATCATCCTAATAATAAAAGTATAGGAAATCTCGATTGTAAACTGTTTGGCTGGTCTATATTTCAAGTCCTACCAAGATTCAGATTTTATGGCTATCGCTTCTTGGTGTTTAGGACATGAGAGTTGATATACACTGACCAGGTAGGCTTCTGTTCTGTTTCTTCCTTATGGTATTTACTTCCCTAAGCTGCAGCGTCACCAGTGCAAAAGGTGGGCTTCCCAGCATGGACAGGACGCTGGAACATGTGGATCCAAGGTATAGGGATGCGAACCTAAGCTTTCTCATCAAAGCTAGGAGATATGAATTGCCTATTGTCTTTCATTGCCTACATGGAGGTTATTGAAGTTATGCTACTTATTGATTCACATAAAGTATCCTGAACTTTCAGGGTTCTAGTTAATTTCTGCATATTCTTTCTGGAAATTGTCATTGTTTCTTGCATGCTTTGAAACTGAAAACCAGTTTGAGCTGCAAGTAATTGTCAATATAGAATTAATAAGTTTATCATTTTTTAGATAAAGTGTCTTTAGGGTACATTCTGGTATAGTACTTTTAATAGGTTTGTTTAAGACTTATAAGAGAAAATTTTTAGATTGGTGCAGTACATCTTAACCTGGCATATTGGCAAGTTCCTGAGGAAGCTTCAGAGGTAATACTGGAGGGTGGGTTGGGTTGAGGAAACCATTGACTAGTTTCAGTATTAAAAAAAAAAAATTTATTTATTTACTTATTTGGTTGCACCGGGTCGTAGTTGAGGCAGGTGGGCTCCTTAGTTGCGGCTCTCGGGCTCCTTAGTTGCGGTGCATGGGCTCTTTAGTTGTGGCGTGCAAACTCATGTTGTGCCGTGCATGAGGGATCTAGTTCCTTAACCAGGGATTGAACCTGGGCCCCCTGCATTGGGAGCACGGAGTCTTATCCACAGCACCACTGGGGAAGTCCTGACTAGTTTCAATGTTGAAATAACAGAAATCATACATTTACTTGCAATAATGCCATGCTTTCTTTGCTTTGGTTTACAATTACCCAGCTCATTGAAGCCACATTGGTTCATGTTGGCCAAAGTCATCCGTTTTATGACTTAAATTTTTGATTTTTCAGAGTGAATTGTTTATTGTTGTGAGTTTTAAAGCCTTGACTGATGGAGAGAAAAAAAGGATACTTTAAAAAGAGAATTTAGCTATAAAATGCTAAGGAGCTTCCACTGACAATAAGAAGAATGACTGGAGAAGAAGGAAAATATGTCCTTTAAATTTTTTTTTCTGGATTTTTTTAACAACTTTACTGAAGTATAATTGACATACAATAAACTGTACATATTTGAAGTGTACGGTTAAGTTTTGATAAGTTTTGACATGTATACATCTGTCAAGATAATGAACATATCCATCTCATCCAAAAGTTTCCCCATGTGCCTCCCTCATACTACTCATGCCTGCCTCATTCTTTATAACCACTAATCTGTTTTCTGTGATGATAGCTGAGTTTGTGTTTTCTAGAGTCTTATAAAAATGGAGTTATGTAGTATGGACTCCCTTTTTTGTCTGGCTTCTTTTAATCAGCATAATTATTTTGAGACCATTCATTTTGTTGCCTATACGTTGTTCGTTCCTTTTTATTTCTGAATAGGATTTATTTCTGAATAGGATTTATTTCTGAATGGGATTCCATTTATTTCTGAATAGGATTTCCTTTTTATTTCTAAATAGGATTTAGCATAATTATTTTTTTTCTTTGTGATTATTCAGCATAATTATTTTGAGACTCCTTCATGTTGTTGCCTAGATGTAGTTCTTACCTTTTTATTTCTGAACTGGATTCCATGGATATATCAAAATTTATCTTTTTCTTGGGTTTTAACTTGGGAATGTGCTACTCGAAGAATAAAAATATTTCATTCAAAGTTGTGATGCAATATATTAATATCAATTTAGTATAATATTTTCCTTTTTCTCTCCTCTGAACCTTGACTTTTTCCTTTTAATTTAATTTTTCTTTTATCAAATTATATAGATTAAAAAGTCAAATAGTATGTAACTAGGTTTATGATGAGACATGGTAATTCTCTGCCAGCATCTCTGTATGCTTCCAGCTCAGCATGTTTGAAGAGAATCCATTGTCTGCCTTGTTTCTCCTCTAGTGTTGCCCATCTCATTTGCTGACCTCACTCTCTTCTTACTCAGGTCCTCAGGTCTAGTAAGTCTCCAGTCCTGTTGACTTGCTTTTCTGATATCCACCCCACCACCTCCTCCTGCTTCTCATAGGCACTGCCTTGCGTCTCCCATACACCAGTTGTCTAACTGGTCTGGGTGCCTCTAATTTCTCCTGTTTTCAGTCTTTCTCCCATACAGCTGCCAGAGTTTGCTTTCTAAAATAATTTTTCTCTTAGAGAACCTACTACAAAAAGATATAATGTGGCAGTTTGGATCAAAAATAGAATTAAACACATGCATGAATATTACCAGCGACGCTAACTAAAATGAAGTAGATATCCACGTGCTTAACCAGGTCATCCCTGTGATCAGGAGTAGAGGCCCGAGATTTTCAAACTAACAGTAATACTTCAGGTTTGTTTGCTGATGACTGTATTATTCAGAGAATTCAACCACTTCAATTATAATGGAATGTCTTTATAATGTAGCCTGAAATAACTGAGACTTTTGAAAATGAGACTAATTCTGTTAGTATTCATAGCACATTTGCAGTGTCGGAATAATTTTTTCAACAAATTATTATGAGAGGCATCCTGGTACAGAGTAATAAGTACTAGATTAAGTGTAGGAGTCAGACAACCTGAAAGTGTTAACATTTTCATTTCATTAAGTTTTCTCTGGTCTTGAGGGATTCAGAATTAGGAGAATTCTTGGTTATAATTTACTGTTTTACAAGATGTCTCAAGACTCCTGTATACTAAGGGGCAAGTACTTAAAGAGAAAATAAAGGCTGAATGTGTAAGCATTTCTACTTCTTTGGAAATAAAGTCTTTGTGTAGATGACCTAGAAAAGACATGCTTTTCTTTAACACGAAAACTATCTTCCTGGTACTGGGAAACTTGATGGGCCTTCATCTATTTTGACTTTTATTTCAAAATTTAAAATATTAGGACAATTGTGTTAGGGCAGTGGAACTGTATGATACTATATGATACTATAATATCATATAGTATCTGTATAATACTATACAGATACTGTATGTATCTGTATGGTACTATAATTATACTATAATGGTGGATGATACATGTCATTATACATTTGTCCAAACCCATAGATTGTACACCATGAGAGTAAACCATAATGTAAGTTGTGGATTTGAGGTGATTATGTTGTGTCAGTGTAGGTTCATCGATTGTAACAAATGTACCACTCTCATGAGGGATGTTGATAATGGAGGAGGCCATGAAACTGGGGGGACAAGGAGTATATGGGAAGTCACTG